TGTCTGCAGTTTTAATTCCACAATGATCATTACAGCAAGAGGATGAAGAAAAAAGAGAGATAAAATCACTGGAGCTGAGGAAAATTGTTTTAAAAAAAAGATAAAGGCCAAAGAAAAGAAAATCCAGATCCTCCATGAGAATCCCTCCACCAATACCAGTGTGTGCCAGCAGAGGATTCGACCCCGTGTACTCCTTACATTCACCCTCAGGATATGGAAAATCTCCCTGGTCCCAAATCCAAACTCAGCCTTGGATATGAAGGGGATGGAAGGAGGGCTGGGGAGGGTGAGGGGATGGATCCCCTGTCCCCACCAGAGCCCTCAGCCTGCACAGACCCCAAAACTTCAACAGCAGCACAGGTTGAGGGAAAATTAAAAGTGGATTTTAACCAGCTGGCATCCTGGGATCCCCCATTTCCACACTGGGAAAGCCCTGACACTGCAGGAACGACACATCCGACCCCAAAGCACAATGGGGTGATCCCCTCCATCTCATATGGCACCCAAACCCCAAAAAATCCACGTGTGCATGGCAAAGAGAAGGAGCTGAGCAGAGCAGCAGCCCCCGTTCCAACCACATTCCCTTCTCTAATTACCCCCAGATCAATCTTTGGGATCTCTCTCTCCCTAACCCTCCGTGATTTTTGCTCAACAGTTGTTGTGTTTCTTTTTGACTCAGCATCAGGAAAATGGSTCCCTGTGCCCCTCGTGCCTCTGCAATCAATTTGGTGCAAAACCATCTCAGCTCATTCATTTATTTCACCAAGAAATCTTCAGGTTGTTTTTCCCCCTTAATTTTTTTTCCCCTTTTGCTTGAATGAAAATGATTTAGCAGGGGGAAAAAACAACAAATCTGGTAATTAAATAAGGGAAAATAACATGGCCAGGGTGAATTGCTGTGAATAATCCTGGAGAGAAGCCCCAGCAGGGGAACAGCTGGGGTGTCTSTGCACATAAAGCACGGGCTCCTTGTGGGCTGTGACACAGATATGTTTGCTTGCACAGCTCCCTGAATCCACACAGCGAAGGAAAATGGGGAATTGAGCCAAATTCACCTGGATTTTGGGTCATTGACCTCTCTCTCGCTGCCTGCACAGCTTTCGCATCCACACAGCTGAACCCTGAGCTACCACAGGCTCTGCCAGCCAGCATCAGGGCTTGGAGGGGGGAAAAGCACCACAGACAGGGGCAGAACCCAGCCCAGAGATCCCTCCTGGACAATGAACCCTCCCGAGGGAGGYGATGAGGCACTGACACCCACCCCAAGCACTGTAGGTGTCCCCAGGCAGGAACCCAAACCAGGCACAACCAGTGGGGTCACACCAGTTGGGGACTGGTGTGAAATGGGACAWTTCCCAGAGAGCAGCAGCTCTGTAGCACCGAGGTGGAGAGGAGGAGACCCATGGACAGCTCCCACTGGGGACATTTCCCACCTCCGTAGCACCTCTGATGGAATGGGGGTGGAGGAGCAGGGGATTTCTCMCTTGAGGTGGCCCAGCCCAAGCTCACAGCTGTGGCCCCAGCCTAACAGGATCTGCTCAGTGAGGGAAACAGGGGCACAGAGGGACAAGTGGCACAGTCACCAGAGCAAAGAACAGCCCAGGCTGGCCCTGTCTGCTGAGCCCTGCCCACTCCCAGCACATCCCTGCCCTTCAGGAGCTCCCAGGCCACAGGACACCCCTGGCTCCTCRCTCTGGCACCTCTCCTGAGCTCCCTTTCACACTCAGGCAGGGACAGGGATCACTCTCTGCTGGATGATGGTGGAAAATCTCATCTGATTCCCTGCAAGGGCCCCGTCAGACCAATCCAACCCAGACAAGGCAGTGATGCTATTGCTGGACYGAAACAGCTCTCAGGTGAAGCATCAATCCGATTTCCTTCCCCCACACTTCTTTTTCCTTCCACCTTGCTACGGATTAATGGCTAATCACTCGGCTAATTACCACCCCAAGAGTCTCTTGGCCGTCCAGCTGACCTTGCAAGGGACAGCAAGAAGCAAATGACAGCACAGGGGTGGCATTTTTCCGTGGCTGCGGGGATAATTGCACCAGGGGAGCAATGCTGAAGAGCTCAAGGATGAGAGAAATGCAGCAGTGAACCTTGAACTCGCGGGGTTCCTCGCATCTGTGCCAGGCAACGCTGTCTAAGGATCTTCCATTCCAGATTCTGGATGAAAAACGATCATTTGACCCCTTTTCTGAACCACTCTGAGGAGGTAAGTGGCTGCGCTAAGTCCTAAATTTGGGCTGGTGAGGTGCTGGGGAGGAAGACGTGCTGCAGCAGGAAGGGAATTGTGTATGGTTGGAAATTCCATCTTGCTCCAATCTCTCCTTTCCTTTCCCTGGATCCCACTGGTTTTTTGAGCACTCACTCACATGGACAGTGTGTGATGGGCAATAAATAAGCCAGGGAGGCTACAGCTCAAAAAATGTCACCTTCMAAGGCAGAGTAATAACTCCCAAAGCAGATTTCTTAGGGCTCCTTAAGCCACCCTGCTCTTTAGGACACGGAGCTGTGGGGTCAGTGCGATGGGAATTCAYCAGGCCTGAGCCTGGATGTGAACAATCACTGAAGATGTTTTTATAAAAGCTTGTTTTCTTCCAAAGCCACCTCCTCCAGGGTGCTGGGGGGAATCTGCAGGGGAGGGTCTGTGCCACTGGTGTCACTGTGCCACTGATCCCTCTCTGTGCCACGGATCCCACTCTGTGCCACTGGTGTCACTCACTGATCCCGCTCTGTGCCACAGTTGTCACTCTGTGCCACTCGTCCCACTCTGTCCCTCATTTTGGCCGCCCAGAGCTTGCTGTTGGAGGCACTGTCCCAGTCCCATCAGAGCCTGGCTGTGGAATTCAGATCTAAAGGATTATTTATTTGAGAGATGGAGTTTGTAGGGAATTTCCCAGCACCACTCAGTGTGCAGCTCTGTCCTGATCCAGATTACAGCGTCTCCCTCTGAGGGAATCAAAGCCCAGTGCGTGCTGCTCTCCCAAGGAACGGGAGGAAGCCATTCCCACAACTAATCATCAGCAATCCGAGATACGGGATGATGCTGAGAGGTTTTATTTCCTTTGTTGGGGGTTTCTCACCGGCAGCGTGCTCCGGTGGCAGCAGACAGACCCAGGACAGCTCAGCCTGGGCAATCCCAAGGGATCTGTGCGTGCCCTGGCTCTGAGAGCACAGAACACAACCTTCCTGTGGCCTGTGGCTGCCGTGCCAGCAGCCAGGAAGCCTGGGGGGCTGGCAGGAACAGCAGGGAGATTACAGCCCTACAATTGGATTGCCCACTGCCCTACCCCACTAATGCAATCACAGCGAGCTGGGGGGGTCAGGCTGAGYGCCCCAAGCACCACCACGGAAAAGAAAAGCTTTGGAGCTGCCTGGATCAGGGATCTGACCTTGACTCATCTCTGTGGCTCTGCCTCTCCACCCTCCTCCCTTCTTGCAGCAGGATAACCGCTGTGGAACAAAACCCAGCGGGTAAGGCAGGAGGAGAATTAGTCCTGCTATTTTTAGATGTGCATGATAATACAGCTCAGAAAACTGGGGATTTCTTTTCAAACAAAAGATTTATTTATACATCAAATTAAAAAAAAGAAAAAAAAATATAACCCGCAAGAAGAAAAAATAAGCCCCAACCCAGTGAATCTAATTTGGAGATGGTCGGTGTGAGACAGAGGGCCCTGGAGTCTGGAATCCCGTTTATCCACAGAGCAGAGATAGCAGCAATCCAAACCTCCCCCCGGCACAACGCCGTGGCTCAAGGCAAGGAGGGTGAGATCAATAGCCCAGGCTCAACCCCTCCTACCCTGCCTGCCAAGCCTGAGCTCAGGAGAGGGATGTGATATTGGAAAWGTGGCAATCAATGCCAGCTACGTGGTGCAGCCACAGGCTGGGGTCGTTGCTAGGGGAAGGAGAGAGAGAGAGAGAGGGAAGCACCCCCGTGCTCTGAGCAGAATAAAAAACAAAGTGTAAACACATGACACTTAAGTCTTAGTGGTATAATAAAATAAAATAAAACTCAGGGGCTGGTCCTGCCCTGCCAGGGTGTGCAGGGCAYGGCTGAAGGCAGTGAATGTGTGGAAGCAAAGTGTCCTCGGTTGGTCCCTTCCCCAGTGGTTGTGCCCCTGTGAACTGCTCTGCGGCTGGCACCAGCGACAACAACASCAACGAGAACAAAAAGAGCCAGCCTTTCTCTGAGCCATCACAGGGGGGAAAATGTCAGCAATAAATACTCCTTTCCTTTCTTTTAAAAGAACACTCGAACAAAGACGGAAAAATGAAAAGCCAGGTGATAATAAATTGTACGAGGAAAATGGCAGTTTTGTTTCCCTGCTCTGCTATCAGCCCCTGCACCTGGGGTTTGGGCTAGGGCGCTTTTTYCCCCCACCTTTCTCCTCATTTTCCTTTTATTGAGTCATTAAAAACTGGGTGTGGATCCCTTCAAGCATGCAGCAGGCAATGGGGATGTCACCCAGACCCCACTGGGAAAAAAAAAAAGTGATTAGGGGGGRAAATAAAAACCCAAAATCCATTCACCTGATAATGGCACCCATGATTCCATTGCCACAAACTCTCCTGGCCTCTGTCCTACGGACAGCCCACCTCCCAAGGTTAAAAAAACAAACAAAGAAGACAACACACAAACAAATTTCCAGTGTTTCAGGGGGGTGGGAGCGGGAGGAGGAAGCCTCGGGGAGGGATGGGCACTCTGAGACATRAAGACACAAACAGAGTGGAATATACAGGCTGGGCAACAGTCGTTAAAGCAAAGAGTAACACCTAAGCCACCGACCAATACGAACACCACAGAAGGGGACGAAAGTCGTCGAAGAGAGAGAGAAATTAAAAAAGCCAAACCAAAAAACCGAAGAGAGAGAGAGAGAGAGAGAGAGAAAATAATTACCCGACCTCCCGCCCCTCCCGCACGAGCCCCCACCCCCCAAAAAAAAATGATCCATAAGCAAAGCCGCCCTCCCTTCCCCGCTGGCACCCAGCCCAGCCCGTTCCTGCTGGGAGAATCTGGAAAAGTCTGTGCCAGGGCGGGCTGGGGGGCGCAGGGTGGAGGGCACCGCTCGTGAGCGCGTTGCCGCGGGTGCGTGRGTGCGCGTGAGTGTAGCAGAGGGGCGTGGAGCTACACGTACCACTCCTTTTTGGAAATAAAAGACCCGTCGTTCTGCGACACCATGTTCTCGGCCAGGTCGAGCTGCTCGGGGTCGTACTGGAAGCCGAGTGTCCTCTCGTCGTACGGCTCGGGGTGGGGCTCGCCCTCGTCCACGGTGAAGTAAGGCCTCTTGGCGTCCTCCTCGTAGGCTTTGGGGACGCCCAGCTTGCGCTCGCCTCCGCCATCCTCATCCTCGTCCTCGTAGGTGCTGCTGCCCAGCGGGCCCGGCTTCTTCTCGTCGTCCGAGTCGTCGGGGTACTGCAGGTTCTGGGCCATGGGCGGGTGGTGCTGCGGGATGCCGGCCTTGCTGTAGCCGTTGCCGTACACGTGCTTCTTTGTGCTGTAGTCACCCTTGAAGGTGTGACGCCGGCGCCGGAGCACCACAAAGAGCACCACGGCCACCACCAGGACCAGCGAGACGCCTCCCACTATGCCCCCAATCACCGGTGTGGGGATGTTCGGCTGCACCATGGATTTGTGATCATCGATTGGAGACGGGGTGTAGGGAAATTCTGGGTAGGAAAAGACAGATGGAAGGGGGAACAGTGTCAAACCATGCGGAAACGCGCCCTCCCTCTCATTGCCAGTTTGGGGCGGGGGGTGAAGGGGGTGGGAAGATGAGGGTAAGGAACAGGGAAGGGAAAAATTGGGGAAAGGGGAAGAGGGGCGTCCTCGCAGGGGTGAGCGCGCGGGRGCTCGGCCTCAGCGAGGGGAAGGTGCCGTGCCAAGCTGGCCAAGCCTCATGCAGGAGCCTGGCGGGCTGGAAGCAGTGACCGCCCCTCCCCAGCCCTGCTGGGCTCTCCGGGTGCTCAGATCCCACCAGCCCCAAGTCTTGAGTCCGGTTCTCCCCATTTTAATGGGTGACAGAGTTATTCCAGTTCCAGTTTCCCAAAGGGGGACCGAGGCCCCAAACCCCACAGAGGGTGGGAACTGAGCTGCTCCTGGAGGTGCCATGTCAGCCCCACGACCCCTGCATCCCTCTCCTCACATCCCAGCCCGGATCACAGCCGGTTTATTGGGGCCAGGAGGCAGCAGCATCTCCTGATCCCCACCCACAGGTGCCCTGGGGCTGCTCAGAGCCCTGCTGGCTCCTGACCCCGTGTGCTGACCCTACAGAGCCCTCCCGATGCTTCTTGCCCTTCCCTGGCCAGCACAGGGCCGCTCCTCCTGCTGATCTCACTCCTACAGTTACCCTGACCTATTTAAAAAAAAAATAAATAACTCAAAAAGAGGGAGAGAAAAGAGATGAGAAAGCTGCTCTCTTCTCTTTCATGCAGCTCAACACCTACACTTTGGCACAGAAAAAGTTTGAGGCAGGACTTCAATCAGCCTTCCTGGGCACRGTTACAGCCCCTGGCCAAGCTCAGAGCCTGCTGAACCCCCGTTTCCATGAGGCAATAACACCACACGGCTCTCGCAGCTCCCAGTTCAGGCAGCAGGCAACTGGGAAGCCTTATCCTTGCACGAGGGACCTCCATCCATGCATCCATGCATCCATCCATCCATCCCTGATCCATCCATCCATCCATCCCTGATCCATCCATCCATCCATCCATCCCTCCATCCATCCCATGAGGTTCATTTCACACGTTTTCACACAGAACTATTTCCTCCCCACATCCCATCCCCATCCTCCCCGCCATGGCCCCATTCCCAGCCAAAGAACACAAACCCAACCCGTGGGGAGGGAGGCAGAAGAAAGGCAGGGGGACAATCACATTCCAGCAGCCCCAAATCACCCCCTCCTTACCCACAGAGCTTCCCCCACCTCATCCTCCCTCCGGAGCAGGGCCAGGCGGGGCTCTGGAGAAGGTGGGCGACCCGGGGTGGGGTCAGTGGTCCAGGGAGGAGGGGGTTTGGCCACTCCAGAGCCTGGCACTGCCACTGGATGGTGGCACAGACCGGCACTGGCTGCGGAGCAGGGTGGGCACTGCGGACCCTTGGGATGTGCTGGGAAGAGAGTGGCACTCCAGGCTGTGCCCATGCCTGGGTGACAAGGTGACCCGAAGAGCTGTGCCCCTGCCTGGTGACAAGGTGACCCAAAGGGCTGTGCCCCTGCCTGGTGACAAGGTGCTTCAAAGAGCTGTGCCCCTGCCTGGTGACAAGGTGACCCAAAGGGCTGTGCCCCTGCCTGGTTACCAGGTGTCTCAGCTGGCAGGTGGTGAGCAGGCAGCACAGTGTCACCTGTCCCCACAGGTCCTTGAACACCCAGGACATCTGCCAGCCCCACCCCGTTTCATGCCTGGGGTGCAAACAGAGCAGCGCTGCAGCCCCGGGGAGAGAGGGAAAAGGAAGTGTGGGAAAAGGATCCCCTTTTTGTGTGCCCAAGGGGGGCGTGAAATTTCTGGAAACCGGTGCGATGCCTGAGCGTGCTCGGGGGCCCCGTGTGAAAAATCCATTAGGAAGAGTCTGGAGAGAATTAAAGGCGCTCTGAAAAGCGGCCTGGAGAAACAGGAGCCAGCGGAGCCGAGGGAGGGGGAACAAGCCAGGCTTTAATGCCAGCATGAAAAGCCTCCCCCCGCCTGCCACCCCCCAGCCCTCATAAAAAGAGGGAGTGCTGTGTGAATAGGAATTACAGCAGCAACACTATCTGCCCGTGCCCGCCTCTGCCAGCTGTTGCATTCAGCCCTGCTTCCTGTCCCCGTGCCRGCAGCCGGACCGTGGGGACAGCAGCTGGGAGGGCAGCGGGACAGGAGGTCACCCTGGGCTCAGCCTGGCACCTGGCCCAGCCCAAAGCTTCTCTTTGATCCCTTTGCAAAGCTCCAGGCACCTCCTGCCCGCTCCCTGCAGCACCCCAGGGCTCAGCAGCCAGGCCACAAACTTCCCCAAACCCTCCCCGTCACAAAAGTACAGGTTTTAAAAATCTCATTTTTCTCTTAATGGCCGTTTTTCAATAAAAATGAGGCGCATGCAAATCATCCCACCTGTCCATCAATCCTTTATCTGCTGCTTTTTGAACCTGCTGGCCAATTTTAGTGCTATCTGACAGAACGAGCTGAAATTATCCCCGTCAGAAAGCTCCTGGAGAAGGCTGGAGTGGGATCCTTGGTAAAGGTGGGAGCTAAACCTCATTAGACATCAGAGAACCCAGAGGGACAGGAGGCTGGTCCCAGGGGCAGGAAGGGCCCAGATCAGAAAAAATATATTTTTAGACACTCTGCAATTCTTCTGTGGTATGCAGATCCTTTGGAAACCAGATTTCAAAAGCTCTTCTTCTCATCTGCTGCGATATTTTATAAGACAACTTCCTGAGGATAAGTTTTTTCTTTCAGTCCCRTTACCATCCCTTTCCCCTCAATCCTAAGGACCAAGAGAAAACCCAGCAGCACCCCAAATTCTCCCTGCAGCCATGAGGAAAATGCCAGACTCCATGAGTAATTACCTGCTGGACATTTGTCAGCCCAAGCCCTTCCAGAGGAAGGCTCTGCATTTCCTTCTACCCTGGAAAACCAAACACGGGCTGAACAGAGCTCCAGCAGGAACAGGAACCTGAATTCCAACGAACTCACAGGGCTTCCCAGCTCCCAGCTGGCCTCAGCAAATACAGCCACGACCCTGTGGGGTTTGTTTAGAGACAGATTGCTGATGGCAAACTTTCCCTGCCGGAACCATCCATGCCAAATCACCCCAGGACTCTGCCCCTGCGCCGTGTACTGAGCGAAGATAAGGACAAACCTCTGCACAGAGCTGCAATTTGAGAAGCACAAAGCTCTGCTGACCTTTTCCCTTCCCTTTGCACCTCTCCAGCTTTCCAAGGGCTCCTGCCWTCCTCTCCCTCCCAGGGGTTTCATTCTGGAGGCGATGGGGGTGGTGGAACCGCTGGCAGCTAATCCAGGAGTTGAGCAGCTGCCCCGGCCTTTCTGAGCTTGACGGCTTTCGGGCCAGATGCCAAATGTGTCTTAGGTTTTAATCTCTCTCTCAGGTCACCTATCCCTTGTCAATCAAGCCCTGCTCCCACTGGCACAGATGCCACCAGACGGGGTGTGAGGCCACTCGGGAAGATTAGCAAGGGTTAGATCCCTGCTCYGGGCTCACTGAGCCCCCTTCCCGACCCTACATCCTCCCACCTCGATCATCCCGGCTCTGGAAGCACCTGCTGCAGGGTTTGGGATTTACAGCTTCCTGGAAAGGGCTTTCCCTAGCCCGCTGATGGCCACAGCGAGCCCCACGGGCTGTTTGCGGTGACCTTGGCGGGACGGCAGCGCTGCTGGTGTGTAAATAACTGCAAATAACTGTAAATAACTCCCTGCTGGGAGCCAAGAAACGGGGGGGCAGCAACCCCTGCCAGCTCCTCCTCCCCCCCAGCAGCAGCACAGCCAAGGCCAGGGCTGCAGAGCTGCTGGCACAGGCTGTCCCTGCTCCCCCAGCTCTGCGAGCCTCTTCTGAAGGCCCATTTTCCATTTTTTTCCTTTTCTCTTTGTGCTTCCTCTGGCTGGAGCTGGTGCACAAGTGGGTGAATGTCTCCTGCAYGGGGCCAGGGCACGTCCGAGCTCTGCTCAAGAGCACACGTTCCTCAATTCATGCACAAATGCTTTATTCCTGCACTGACACAAGGCAGCCCTGTGCATGCAGAGAAGCCCCTTCCCCAYRGSCAGGATGAAAAYTGGGGGYMACAGGGTGAATATCTATGGCCTGGATGAAAATTGGGGRYMACAGGGKWRA